ATCAGCTGATTAATGAAAGTGTCGCTATGGAGACGACAGATGAGTCAGACTTTAAGGTCTGATACCAACAGCCCTGTGAGGTTACCATGGTTACCATAGAAACAGATTTAATAGTGTAAATGATGCAATCATACAGCTGTTAGCACAGTTACTACGGTAACTGTAACGACATAACTCGGACTCTCCTCCGTGCAGGAGCTGGTCACAGAGCTGCACATGCAGTCCATCTTCACTGACGTGGGGAAGCTGAGCCTGCAGGACCCCGCCCACAGCGCCCTCATCCCCAGCTCGGCGGGAACCACGGCGAGTCCCGGCACGTCGTTCGCCTGGCTCAGTTACCACGGAGATGCACACTTCGCTCTGGCTTCTCCTGCAGGAGGCATCACGGTGGTCACCCTGCCGCCGCCCGATTCTCAGGGTGAGGAGGAGTTTCTGTGTTTGATGTGGGCGTGGCCCGTCGGGCGGTTTCTAAGACGCGTGCTCACCGTTTCCAGGCAACGTGTCGGTGCTGGAGTTGAAGAGGAGCTCTGTGATGCAGCGGCTGTCCGGGTGGATGCCCACGGCGATCCGCGGCGAGCACAGCCCGGCCGACCTGGTGCTCAGCCTCGCCGTGCGGGAGCTGGAGGAAGACTCCTTCATCTTTGCGCTGTGTCAGGACCACCGCCTGCGCATGTGGTCGCTCAGGGTGATGACATCACACACACAAACACATTGTTGATGTTTAACGTTTGAGTCGCCGCGTGCTGACGTGACTTCCGCCCCCTCAGGAGCACGGCTGCCTGCTGGAGGCGGACATGTTGGAGTACATGCCGGCGTCTAAGGGTGTGAAGCGCCTGCCGGGCCACGGTCACCGCCTGCGCCTGGCGTTCTCCTCCACCACAGGCTTGTGCGTCTGCGTCTACCTCGCCGTGCCTCAGCGGGGGCAGTTCACCGTGCTGCAGCTGGTCGCCACAGACAACAACCGCTACAGCCTCGAGCACATCTCCACGCTGTTCAGCACGCAGGTGAGCGCAGGGCGGAGCCGGGCCTCGTTTTTGTGTTTGTGGTTACTTCCTGCATTCTGAACCGCTCTCTGTGAGCAGGAGACGCTTGTGGACTTCACGCTGACCTCCTCGGACATCTGGGCTCTGTGGTTAGACGAATCCAACGCCACCGTGGTCAAATACATCAGCTTCGAGCAGTGAGTCGAAACGCCGGCGTCCTCCTGATATGTTCGTGTTTCCATCGTCCATGTTCCTCACCTGTCGGCGTGTTTCACAGCAACACGGCGGCTCAGTGGAACCAGGTGTTTGTTCAGCCTCCACCCGAAGAGGAAATCCACATCGGCGTGGACCTGGACCCCCGGGTGAGACCAGTTCAGACCAGTAACCAGTGTTTAATGGGCGGGTAGTGCTGACCATGTGATCTGACCCTGACAGGAGACGTATCTCGAGGTTCTCTTCTC